TTCATAGGTGTTATTATATGTCACACACAGTATAGTTTACAAAGGTGTTACTATTTAAGCAAAATGTTATAAATTCTTTGAAAAAATAGGACAGTTGTGATCTGCAGTTGGCAGGACTATGATTGTAGCAGCTAAAAGTCACATGTGATCTTTCTTTCCGAGTTGTGACATAGAGTTCCATAGTGTAAATGTAAACATAATATTCACAACTGCAGGTGGTATTCCATGAGGAACTATATAATCACTGGATTTATTGAAATATGCCTAAATATGCAGCCCACAACCTATATATGCAGATGAAGAAAGAACAACAGAAAAACATCACACATCCCTAGATTATTTCATACATTAATTGGGCTTCCACTAAAACAAAAAGAAGCACAGAGAGACTTTTTCATTTATTGTTTTTATCTTTTTAAAATTTGTAGATTTTGTGTATTTTTATTTTGTGTTAATAGTGTTGGATGTGTATTCCCAAAGATGGCAACATAGTATGATGAACAGTTAGACTGAGTTAAGGTTTGGCAATGAAGGTACATTTCACTGTAACTATTTACCTAATGTGATTAAATTTACTACTAGTCATGCTGTGTGGTGGAATAAAAGGAAAAAGAAATAATTTTGAAATTAGAAATACAAAAAAAACATTTTAGTAATGAAGAAACAAATGAAAATGGCTGATTAATATACAGTATTGCTTCTTCATGATGCAAAGTAATTGAAGATGAAAATAAATTATTAGAATAAGAAGAAAATGAACAAAAACAAAGAAAAACTTAAATAAATTGCACCTAAAGTGAACTGGACATAATTCACATGATCATTCAAGAAATGGATAAAAGGTCAAAACAATGTATCTCAGTTTCTTCAAGCTAGAAACAAAGATGTTACAAACACTGATTTGCATTCACAGTTACCTCTGCTTCCATGATCATTATAAAGGAGTCCTCCATACAAAAGGTAAAGCAGGTTCCAATACAATTATCCCATGAAACAGTAGATTGATTCTGTGATTGGACCCTGAATTCTGCATTTGAATGCTCAAATTTTCTGATTGGTCAGCTCCAAAGAAAATGTGGAATGTGAGAGCAGTTTGGAATTTTCATCTAGTGTTGTTTCTAACTTGGAAGATGCAAGAGCTACCTATGACATCTCATTGTTTCAATATTGTTTAACTTATTACCTACTGTATCATATGTACTTTATTTTTAAGCAGAATGTTTCTTCACACTTTCTTTAATTTAATACAGTTTCTTTATATGCTATTTTTTACACTCTTTAAGTTTGTTTGTTTTGTTAAATTTTGTACCAAGCTGCTCAAGGGTTGTCAGTGTTATCCATTCCTAATTTTGAAGTGATAGATTAGAGGGGAGGCAGCTAATTAACACTACCTACCATCAACTCATGCGCTACTTCTTACCAAAGACAAATATGATTTTTCTTCATATCATAACATAATGCCCTATAGCTGAAAGATCAATTACATTTGGTAAGATAACTTGAACTCATGACCCACAGAATGTGAGTCCAGCATCCTAACCACTAGACCATCTCAAGTCCTCTTTAACAATAATGCAAGAGATATCCAATGGTAAATTATGTCATATTTTCTCTGATAAACAAAGTTGTTGTTTTTTATTAAACTTAACAAGATGTTTGTAGTAGGGACTCCAATTTAGATCCAAAAGACACCCCAGTTAGGAGTTGTTGGGGAGGGATGTCAAAGCACATTGCCCAGTTGGCTCCTTACAGGGTAGGAAATCATATAACATGTTAATTATAGCTCCATAGAGTACTACCAGAAGCTTGTTAGCTCATATTAACTCCATCAGAGGGTGTGATAAGTTAATGTAAAGAATCCAGCCCTATACAAAAACCTGACAATCATATATATTTGTCAGGTTTGTATAGGGGCTGGGATTCTTTTACAAAGGGTGTCTGCAACTTGTTGGTGACAAATTTCAACAATAAATGGACAGCACACAATTGTCTTTTTTTAAAGTAATATATATATATATATATGTATTAAAAACAAGTCAAACATATGTACAACAACTTGTTACACTATTGTTTACCACAGTTAAATCTAGAACTTAAATTATCATTTTTTTCATCAAAAGTTCACACAGACTGGTTCAATTACTTTAGAAACCAACTGACAAAACAAATTCTTCAACTTTATCTCTGTTGTTACAATACAAGTTGTGAAACTCACTTCAAAATCACCCCTATAACTGTTGGTTACCAAAGTTGTATCCAGTACTTTAAATAATCATCTCCTTTTCATCAAAGTCCATACAGGTGGGTTCAATTACTTTAGAACACCCTCTGACAAGACAAATTATTTTTCTTTATTTCTCTTATTACAATACAAACTGTGAAACTCTCACTTTATAAATCGCCTGTTATGGCTAAACTGAAAATCATGCAGTCTTGCTTCACTTTTTTTCAATTTTACTTTCACTAACTTTACTTCCTTTCTTTATCTGCACATACTAATAACATGCAACAGAAATATCTAGTCCTCTAGTAACAACAATGTTAAACATAATGAGAAAAACTTAGAAGCTTTGAGTAAGTTGATGTCAACAATATTACAAAAGCCTAGTACAACAATTAAACTACATACACAACTATCACTTTTAAAATAAATAACTTTTAATATTCTTGTTATGAGAACTAAATAATCATTACATACTAGATCACTAAACAAACTAAATAACAACTCTTTAACTGAACAGTCTTCTATATCCAATAATATTGATTATAATACTGATTGACTTTATGATTATGATGTTAATTAATTATTCCAGTGGATAAATATGATAATTTTTTTAAATTGTAGGTGCATCATTTTTTCAACCACTGGATATATGATAGCAAAAGAAATTTTGATGTCACAGGGAACTTTGTTTGACCATGATTGCAAAAAACTTTCAGGAAATCCTTTTAATAAAGAGATCAATGATAACAATTACAAGAACTATATATTGTTTTAGCTTGTTCTATGTTGGCCAGGATCTTTTAGATTACTTGTTAAAAATAATGTCGAGTCTGGTCCAGATAATAATAACAAACTAATTTCTTCAATAGCATTTTCTACAGTATAGGCTACATTCACTTGAAATTGTAGGCCTCACTTCACAAATATTGTTTGAAGAGAAACGCCAAGGCTAAAAGTAGACATGTCTATCTTACTTGTAGAATTTCCTTTATAATCAATTGATAATGTTAATAAACATGCTAATGACTAAATTATTCATTGAGAAAGAGATACATTAACAATACTAACAATGAACTAAATATTTCACCCACTCCTTAATTCCTACTGCACTGTATTTCATATTCATATTTTACTTGTTTTCATTACTACACAAACTTTCTAGATCATAACGTCATCATCAAGTGATGACCAGCTCCTTCTAGCAAAAAACAATGAAAATATAGCTTACAACAATATATAAACAGATAATGATACTTAGTCAGGAAGAAAGTAGTTAAAAGTCTGAGTAGAAGAAAGCTTTTTTCTTACCAATTTTAAACATTGAAACAGAGCTACAAAATGTTTTATTTATTCTATACTTTTCCATTTGGAAATAACATTAGAAATTATTAGAAACAAAATGAATATTATCATTAATGAACTCAAGGCTCAAAAATTCTTGTTGTATACATATAGAATATGCATAACAATGGTAATTTGTCCCTAAAAATCACAGAGCCTTGCATTTCACAGTACCATTACAAACATTCTTTCATGTATTTATTTGAATAACTTAAAATTTGAAAATATTTGTTCCTCTTATTAATATAATAACAGTGTATTATTGGTGCTGTATATATTACAAGAAAATATGGAATGGAATTACATGGCCAAATGAGCTCAGTGAGTGTATATAAAATCACTGGTTTAACATACCTGGCATATGATATCCTTGCTATTGGTATCTAACCAAAAACACCTAAGTTGTAAAAAAAAAGGTGTGGCCAAAAAAGAATTGAGTGCGGAACTTAAAGGAAATTGGCAGCCAAACTGGTAACTAAAGTTATAGCACTGATAAGAATCTTATAGCAAATCTTTATTCATTCATTAGTCAGACTACTTTTTGTTCAACATGATGGTGGGTAAAACAAAATAGGACAATTTCATAAAATTTAGTAAATTTGTGCTAAAAAGTTGGAATATGTAATCAAATATTAATTGTCTACTCATATGATTCGTTTGAAAACTTGAGCTAGAAACTGCTAATCTAAATCAGCCATCTTTAATCCGAATGACAAGAACTAAAAACAGTCTACTTTTACTCTTAGGTGAAGCTGTAGTAAAAATGTTAGACCAATAGTTCACATGACTTTTTTGCATAGACATGCAAATTTGAGTGTTTTTTTTGTTGAATAACTTTGCACATGTGGCTTATACTTACATCAAATAAGACCACTATTTGTAGGTTGAAAAGATCTATCAGTTTACCAAATTTGAAAAAAAAATCCATGAAAGTTAAGTACGTTTTTCTATCAAATAAAGTTTCTGTATTTGTGGTGTGAAGAAAAAAAAAAAGAAGAAACTTAATCAAAATTGGAGATGTTATATCTCAGGTATTTCTCAATGGATTGCCTTTAAATTTGGTATATGAAGTAAGAGTCCAGTAGAGCATATACACTGAAAATATATGATAGTTTGGATTACCACAGTCCACAATAAAGAAGGTGGAAAATCACTAAACTATCACTCCTATTAATAACACACACTGTGACCGGCAGCAGATTGTTTTGGCCACATGACATACTGCCGTCTAAAATAAATAGTCCATTATTAATTAAAAAGTCAAAGAGATCTAAGCTAATATTATCTAAACTTACTTATTAACTACAATTAACATCTATGCACAAGTACAAGTACATCTAGAATACTAGACTAATATAACCATTTAATAACATTGAAATGTAAAGGCTCTCAAAAATGAATCTAATAACTTTATAAAAACCTCCAAATCACTTACTTGTGCCACGTGTCGATAAGGATCATTAATATCTATTCTGGTATCAACATTTAGCCACTGGATGCTAACTGACTTCTTGTTCCAGGACCCCAGTAGAGATGAGTAATTACACTTTAGTTCAAGTTGTGTAGATTTGTGAACATGATATTCATTATAGTGAGCTACACAAATTATAAAATAGAATATTTATATTAATTTGAATTATAACAATCACACAAGTATATCTGTATTAACAAGCTAAATTACTGAGAGATTAAACTATAATTAACAATACTAATATTTGAGACATAAAATTGGCATATTCAAAACTGATTCTAAAAATACATTAAATAAAATAAATAGTTAATATTTGAGTTAAAAAACACATTTTCTTATCATATAATTTTGGAAATCTTGTACACTATTTGAGTGTAGTGCAAAAAATACTTTAAGGAATTAGTTCAATAAAAAAAAATATTTTTTTATTTTTGTTTGATTTATTTTAAGGTTTCAGGAGAATGCAGTCAAAACCAGACCAATCTGTGGTTTCAATTCATACCATTAAAACTGTTTTGAATTTGACCATAAATATAATAAAATGCATTCAAATTATTCTCAGAAGCTACCATTTTAATCTGTTTTAAGAATTTAATTCCAGCAAGTATTATAGGTTATGAAGTAGTTTATTCTGTAAGTATAAATTGTATCTAAAATGACCAATAAAAGCAAGCAAACAAAATATTAATTTTTGAAAACAGAGAAGAAAACCATTACCTTACCAGCAATAGAAGCTGTTTCAGAACCAATCATGTTTTTGGTTTCCATAAGTGGAAGTTCATGAACCCAATGTATCTGACCATTGATTTCCACTGATGACACAGAGCCTTCGAACTTTCCATTTACTTTGGAAAGAATTTCAAACTTTTGTTTGGTGTTTTTATCAGCTCCTCCAAGATACAAATGACCTAGGCACTGGAACTGAACATTAGGAAAAGATTTCCATTCATGACCATCATGATTGACTCGTATACTAAGAACAGTTTCTACAGCTGAGACCTCTATTCTATACCATTTTTTTACCTGTATAGAAACAAAACATCAATATTAGCTATCTTTATCGTACAAGACTATTTTTAAAATAATAACTCATTGCTAAATTAGTTGTATTAGTTGTATCTGACATGCATATTATATATGTATACATAAATCTGAAGAAATTTGAAGAAAAAGAATAAAAGAAATTCATCACTAAAAGTTGAGGTTTGTTAATCATCATTTTGTAGTATAAACTTAAAAATGTCATAGTCACTGTTATGTTAGGTTTTTAGGTACTACTTTAAAATTCAAAATTCCCTTATAATATAGTTTAATGATACATAAGGTGTTTAATGTTTGTTATGACATTTGTGTAAGTAACATTATTTTGCGAATGCTAACAGAAGGTGGTGGATAATTGTACATATTTATATATAACCTGGTGCTGGTAACACAGAAAGTGTCAAAGAGTTTTTCAGCTGGTTGATCCACAACAAACTGAATGAACCGAGTGCATTCTTTGTCAACTAGTCACATGTGAAACTTTGCATTGTTAAAACACCATGATGTTGGGGCTGGTTAGCTTTATTCTACCCTTTCATCAAGTTTAGTGCAATTCCATGAGTTAGATGAGCTGCCTATTCCAAAAGACATGCAACAACTGGATGAAGGGAATGGTGTAGAAGCCACTGTTATGGAAAATAAGGAAAAATGGCACAAATTGTGCCATAAGTTCAACATCATAAAATTTCAACAAGCAGTGAAAAGGATATCAGCCCAAACAGATTGTGATTCTTGTTCAGACATATCCAAGAAGTACACTCATCAAACCAAGCACCATGACAAAGCAAATAAGGACATGTGTTGACAACTGAACCTCTTCTTGAAATATCAATATTCCATATGAACTCTCGTATTAGAAAATGTGCATCAGAATTACAGGTCAAAAAAGCTGTTTACTAGGGTGGCCACTGCTGGGGTAAAGTGATAAAAGTTAACCTTGACATGCCTCCCCCTGAAAACTGGAAATGGACTGATCTGTCGAACTGGAGACCTAAGTAGACCTGTTTGCCTGAAGCTAGCACTGCATCAAGAAAACTCATTCAGTAGAGTTACAAGAAAGATTGCAGAGATTGCTGCAACTGCAAGAAGGCAGCATTAAAGTGCAATATATTGTACCAACCTTGTGGTGGTCAAGATTGTGACCTGTAAATTGCAAGGCAACACAACCAATGACTGATAAAATTTATTTAACTTACAATTTCATATTTGTAACTCAGCACTTCTTTTACTGAAGTTTTGGATATATGTTTTTGTTGTTTTTATTTAAAATAAGAGACTATCATGTTTTTGAATGATATATTTGTGTATGGCAACATTTAAATGCATTTAGCTGTAATATAATGCTGATTTTTCAATGTCATAAAAATTTGGGCAGCCATTTTTAAAACAGCTGCCAAAGGTAGCATGGGCCTTTTCCTAATGGCTCCATTTCTAAAGATATTCTCTAGGCCATGATCTAAAACTATGCCAAATTTCAAGCTTGTGCATATAAACCCATGATTCTTACATATATCTCACTACATGGTTAGTCCTAAAAAAAGATGTATGGATGTTTCTGCCATGTGCTAGTCAATTGTTGTTGTAAATTGGCTGACATGTCTCAAAATGATACAGTTCTTTGGACATCTGGATAAGGAAGATACCATCCACAAAAAAATAGCAAACTATTATCTATCAATTCTCAACACCATAACTATAGGGTATCTGCTCCAAGACAGTGAGATGTTTGTTATTATAACTGGATGCTGTGCCTGTTACAAACAGATTTTGTGAGACTGGTCTTATATTAAAAAACAGCCAACTATTATTTATCAACACCATAACCACAGGGTATCTGCTCCAAGACAGTGAGATGTTTGTTATTATAACTGGATGCTGTGCCTGTTAGAAACAGATTTTGTGAGACTGGTCTTATATCAAATGAAGTGCATTCCTTACAGCAGTTCACCTACAATGGTGCCAAAAACAGACTCAGGGGGTCACACTTTATCCTGCAACAACATAACAAGTGTATCCTCAATTGGAATGAATGTAAAATTTGATACAATCTTATTTTCATGCAGGAAAATTATGCATATGGTAATGGTAGGCATATGTTGTGGGGAAGAATAAGTACTGGTAAGTATAATGACATCTCTATCCAGCAGAATAATACTACTATAGTGCCACATGCATTGAAAGGACCATATCCCACAGCACTCTGTTGCCATATGCTGGCAAAATAGGTTTCTTGAGTTAAGTCTACTGGATGCCAGTGCATGGCTTCACCATATTATACTGACTATGACATTCCCTGAAAAAAGAATGGTTTGACCAAAAGCAATTAACTGTATCCTAAACAGACTTAAGTCTAAAATATGTATCTTATGTTCTTGGAAAGCATGTTGCATCCTGACTAGGAACTTCAAATACTAAACCTGTGCTGAAAACATCTCTTTAGAAAAATGGTAGAAAATACATACTTATTATGTATTTTTTTTGGCATCAGGCTGTCCTTTCTACTTATGGTGAATGTATTTTATACTGCTCATTTGCAAGCTTTAACTGAATTTCTCGAGATAGAGGGTAAGTGAAATTATTCTAGAGCAGTGACTTTTCTGTAAACTGCAATTATCCTTTAGTTATTTTGTGCACCGAAACTTAACTTGCAATGAGTAACATATTTCACTAAATTACAAGTGATATATATAACTTTAATGGTCATAGCATACTATGCCACATAATAATTCATTTCTTTAAATAAAATCCATATATTTGAAATAATACTGCAAATCTTTTGATTTAGACATAGAATGAGCTATGAATATTAAATACAGAACGACTGTACTGAAAAGGATTTGGATAATATTTTGTTTCACATTACACATTGGTTGTCTTTGAATATTGTTATGTTCAATACAAAAGTGAAAGGCTGATACTTAAATGCATGGTATTTGACTGGTATCTTAATATTATGTAAAATATGTTTGGTGATATTTATTTACTCCTTTGTCAAAATATAGGCCAATATTTTTTATGGAACTGGTAAAAGTTATAATAACCAAACAGAGGAGTGAGCTTAAGTTCCATTTAGTGAGGAGTTTCTCTCATTTAGAAGACATTGTTGTAAAAAGGTACAAAGAGTGATTGTGTTGTCCAAGGTAGGCATGGTTCTTTTCAGAAAGTGCTTGGGCTAGAGAGCAAACATTTTTCTTCTTCTTCTGAATGTTGCTAGATGGAAACAGGATTGAACAAGATGATCACATTAATTCTGTGCTTGTTAAAAAGACTAGAGAAGTTTAAAGAATGATACAGCTTCTGGGCCAGATAATATTTACCCAGGGTTTTGAAAGAGGTTAAGGATTGGATATGTAAGTCACTTGCTACTATGTCTTGTAAGTCACTGAATAATGGGCAGGTGCCAGATAATTGGAAGTTGGCTAATGTTACTCATCTTTTAATGAATAGTAGAGTTACAGCAGAATTACACATATTCCATCTTCAACAAATCTATGAAAATAACAAACTAGACGATTTTTAGTATAATTATTAACATAAAAATACAATGAATAATGTTATGAAATTATATAACATTCAATTTCAAAAAAGAAAGAAAGAAGAGAGACAGAGCTATTTGAATATAGCAAGGGGGGGAACAAGTTTGAATTTCTATTGAGACTTAGATTTTCGTTTATAATATTTATACTTTCTTTTATCAAAAATTTGTGATTATTACATCCACAAGCCAGAATTGAAAGTCTTCTAAGGAAATGGGGTGCAGTTATGTTTCATTGTTGGAATATACAGTATAGGAGAGTTAGGTGGAGTTTGAAGTTTAAGACCAGTTCTGTTAGAAACTCCCATGTGTTCTAAAATGCGTAATTGTAAATGGTGGATAATTATTTAATTAATAAGAATGATTTAAAGGTCTGGATACAACAGTGTAACGAACAATTGTATATACATTTGATTTGTTTTTAATATATTCTTTTAAGACAAGCGGACTGTGTTGCTGTTTGTTCATAGTGGAAATTTATTACCAACAAGTCACTGACACATACTGTGAAGAATCTCGTGTTACAAAATCTAACAGCAAGAATTTAAAAGAAATAAGCAAACAGTATTCATAGTTTCATTATTTATTTTCTTACATATTAAACATCATAATTTAAAATTACTGGATTAGTAAGTTAAAAAACTATCTTTCAATTAAAATTTCTTACTAACAGGATCCAATTCAATCTGTAATGGAACTGACAGATTGGGCCCATCTGCAATCAGCTTCTATTTGCACTGTGAAAAATAGCACTGCTGCCATAGCAATATGATCAAACAACCCAATTCTATTGGTCATGTCTGTCAACACATGAAGAATGGCTTCTAGTGTATTAGTGCTGGAGAAATGCAAGTACATACTATAGCCCTATCTTTGTTAGTACACATTCATTTCTCCAACAATGATGTGCGAGTTATGAAATAACATTAATACACTGTAAGAAGAAATGTAACAAAATACTGATTTGTTATTGTTTGCATAAATAATGACTTCTTAAAAACTCATAATTTTTAAAAAACAACGATTATTTTATACACAATTCTATAAAAATGAGATTGTTTCCAGTCTCCAAGTTACTAAAATACAGTAACTTACTGTACAGGATAAAAAGTGGTAAAAATACCCCAATGAAACTAGAGAACATTCTCATACATTCTACATGTTTCAACATATACTATTCATCATCCTCAGGAGTGTAATGTTTTGCAAAAAATAACATCCATTTATACAGTTATCAAAACACCAATTTACATATTAAAGAATTTCATGCCATCTGCTGACAACATTTCCATCAGGTCTATCATCCTTATTCAATAATTTAAATTTACTTTTTCTACATTAATCTATTTTTAACCTATTGAGATAATTAAATGTAAAAAAAAAAAGAAAGTGCCAAAAAAAATACTGACTTGTTTGATTGTGCTATTTTTGTGTTAAAGGTGAAACATAAGATTATCCAATGTATGTAGTGGCTTTAATAAAGCTAACAAGAATGAAATGCAACTGTAAAAGATGGTGCTGAAACTTTAATTAATTACACAGGTGAAAATTGTTTAATTACAATTATTTGCAAAACATTGCAAACTTAAATACACTAGGAACAATTACAACAATTGTAAGTATTAATATCTGGTTCTAGTATTATCTTGTTAATAATATGCTTTTATAAATGTTTTCTTCAAAACAGCTCCTCCAACTTCTATGTTTCTGTGCTTCCTTGAAGATGACAAAACCTTGAACCCTGAATTTTTGTGTTTTATAATATGTCTGCAAACTCACCACTAACCCACCATGGAACACCACTGCTGTCATGATATTTTCATATTGTGATGATGTCTTTTACAGGATTAAGTCTTTGTAAAACTATGGTATACAGGATTATTATGCATTGTCACTTTATTATTTTATGTGAAATTTTTTCAATTTTTTTTATTTATTCAGGAATGTGCAGTTTTTACATACTGTTGCGTCAGCGAGTCACATGACCACCGTGACGCAACGTTTCTAGAACTATCATGTA